ACTTTTTTGTCAGCAGATAATATTTAAAATTAATATTTAAAACATTTTCTCTCATCTTTTTGATAAAAAAAAAACACAATTTTAAGGAACACATGCAGACACGGAAGATGTTCTGACAATATTTGCATATTTAGTTTGAACATTGTTAAGGTTCAAAGACACAAACACAAATGCTTGCATTAAAACAAATAAAATAGACCTGACAAAGGAAACAAATAAAATAAAGGGTTTGAAAGTGGGTGTGTGGCAGACGAGGAGGAGGCGGAGGAGGAGACAGGATTTGAAAAAAATCATAAAGTAATAATATGTAATTTTCGTCTCGTCTTTGTTCGTGAACTAAAATGTCCATAGATTTTAGTCCGGTCTTTATTTACCGAACTGCATTTTCGTCTCGTCTTTCTTAGTCCGCAAAAATTATTTCTGATTTTCTCCCAGTTATTGTTTATTAGTGGGGATTTTCGTCTCGTCTCGTCTAGTTTTCGTTCGGTGAAAAATGTGTGTTGATGAAAATATTTTCGTTTAGTTTTCGTTAACGAAATGAACACTAACAGAGACGTCTCTGTCTCGTGGCACATCTTCCAGAACTAGTGAACACTACTGTTAGGTCAATAGAAGGATCAAATGGTGTATTCAGATAACAGAAAAGCTTCAATGAAATCATCTGATCTACAGAGAGAGAACTGGTGATATAAAACCTCACCTTTGAATCAAAAAATGCAAAGAACGGGTTGCTGGTGTTGCTCTTAAATTCAACACTGTTGGTGTTGTAAACTCTGTCTGTCACAAAAGCCAGCCTCTCACCCTCCTTTAGATTCAACTTCTTCTCAATACCTCCCACTAATTTCCTGCAAACAGAGAACATATGATGAGCCATAGTGAGAATCTCCAAAGTCCAGATTAAAAGGTGTTCTACAAGGCAGCAACATGATGAGATAACCTACAAGCCTTTTCCTCTAATGAGAACTGACAGGTCCTCCTGTCTGATGCTATCACTCCACAGGGTGAGAGAAGAGAAAGACTCCTCATCCGTTTGTCCGCCACCATTTTCAGTTACTGCTACTCTGAATGTGTCAGAGATGCTATTTTTAAAATCTTTCACAATGAGAGATTTTTCGGATCCTGGAAGGAGATAAAAGAAGCTTTAGATGTTGCCATGGGCAGGTTTGGACTGTATAATTATAGTTTTGATGTATGTTAAAATGCCTCTGAGACTTTTATAAAGAATTAAATGAAAATGTAGGTTTTGAAAGTTCTCAGTGGTTCTGTTAATGGCTCAAGGTGAAATGGTGTGTGTGGGAGTTACAAACCTAAGTGGATCTTTTCTTCCACAATTTCATTCAGTTTTAGAGCTAATATGGTATATTTGGGCTTCCGGTCAGAGAACTTGAAGAAATCCCAAAAACTCCTCTTTCTAATCTTGACCAGAGTCTGCATCTCCCATTGCTCATTCATAGAATTGGTACTGATGAGACCTCTTTTGTCCAACTTTTGAATCACCTCCGCGGTCATGGTTGAGAATGAACCCTGTGAGCAGCAAACATAGAAACACAATCATTTCTATAGTCTTACAAGTTAACAAAACCTATACTTTAATAACATGACAGTAACATTTTATAAGTGGTTCAAAGTAACACTGTATTGTTGTAGCTACCAGGGAGCATTTGACCAGTGCTAGGATTATTTTATACATGATGTGTGAGTCTGTTATACCCTAATAATACCTGCCTGTTGCGTATAAGAACTAATGTTTTCCTAAGCAGTTTACCTAATTAGGACAGTTCCTCTGTCTGGATGTACAGTTATCATCTTTGTTGTGTATGTGGCAAAGATCTTGGAATGATATGAGAGCGGTGTCCTCGGTCTAAGAACAAAGTGTAATATTTCGATGTAACGATGAGGCCGACTGGAGTTGTATAAAATGCTTCTATGAATCGTGGCCACTTCAATGAGATGTGGACAAAGATTACAATGTCGGCCAAAAACTGTTGTCATGTCTCCTGGTTATTTGATACATATGCATTATGAGGTGATATTTAAAGAGTTTGTGCCGAGTGATATCTGCTCAAGAAAAGAACCAGAGAGAAAAAGCTTCCAGGTGTAAACACACAGTTTTCCTTTATAACTGTAATTTTTCAGGTGTAGCTCCCCCTGAATTTTCATCTTTCTACATTTTAGCATAATCTCAGATCTCAGGAAAAAAAAAAATTGCTGGGCCTTTGGAAAAAAAAAAAAAAAGCAGTGCTCAGGTTTTTTTAGACTTTGACCTGCATTGAATCATGGGAAATGGAGTACCATAAAGGGTAACCCCAGGTTGTGCTCTAAGTCTAGTATAACATTAGTTTTTCCAAACTCCATTAAGGTGGGCTGTACCTACATGTCCTGTCATGCAAAGGACTGTGGGATACCGTAGAGCTCCTAGTGGGGGATAAGAACCTTGTAAAGTCCCTTTGCTAATAGAACAACTGAGAGAAAATATTCTGCTTCCTTTCCCTACCTCCTTTCTTGCTTTCAACAGTATTTGGACAGTACTCATCATGGAGACCACTGATACACTTCCCCTTTTAGATTAAACCTGGGTCATAGTCTTTCATCATCAAAGTGTCAAGTGTGGTGCTATGATGATGAAAGTCTGTAACAGTGTGAACATTTTGAACCAATAGAAAAAATTCAGCTGCCACCGCTTAACTTTAAAAAGACAGCACTAAAAAGTTGATGAAAATAATATTGCAGAACTCAAAATGTCTCCCATCACAATGTCAGAATTGCAGTACAATTAAAGTAGAATAGGTCCAGTTATCTTACCTTGGTCATGTTTTCTGCTGTCAAAGAAGCTACAGCTGTTGGTGCTGAAGATTGTCTGAGCTATAGATCTGCCTCTGGCGCCGTCTTATATATCCAACACGGATGTTCCAAAATTGTGAGGAATTTGAAAATTGCTGCCAGAGGTTCCTGTTTGAAAATGTATACTTCTCCAGAACTCATGAACAGTATGTTGCATAAATTATCCTTTACAACCAACAGATTGCTTGATTTAAAAAGACACCGGTTGGGTTAAAAAACAAACAAAAAAAACAAAAAATAAATTATCCTTTACAACCAACAGATTGCTTGATTTAAAAAGACACCGGTTGGGTTAAAAAACAAACAAAAAAAACAAAAAAAACAAAGAAACATCAAAGCAAATTTACTTAAAGAATATGTTTTCATGTTCAATATTGAAATGGTTAAAACAAAACTGGTTCCATACAGATTTATACAACTACAAACTGTAGTTTTAAAGCTTCTATTTATTTATATATTCTGTAGAAAAACAATTTAATCAAATGATGTTTATAGAATTTGATTTCTAGCCTTGCCTTTGCAAATGCTTAGCCCCTTAAATGTAAGAGCAGTGATCAACTAATCAATGCATTTATAATGAATGGATAATATGAGGGTTGTAATGAACTGAAACCCCTTTATCAATAACCACTCAAGCAATCCCATGCAGCACAACTTGGGGATAAAAATGTGTCCAAGTGGACTTGGATACTTGCTAGTTTTTTTTTTAACATTCAGATAATCTGCTGCACATGATTAACGAATTATAGAGTTG